AGAAACATGGAAGTACAGGAATCTTTGTAGTTTGGGGAAGGGGGAGACAAATGAAAACCCAAGGACACATTCCACAAATTGCATAGCTTGCAGTAAGAAAGGTAATTGTTAAAAAAGTTATCCTAGGTAAGTGTCTGTGTGTGAATGGGAGATGTACACTGAGATCACAGGTCCCATATGCACTGGCCAGGGGCAGCTCGGAGTATCCTGGCCCCAGAGATTCCCAGTCCTTCCCCCATTGCAAAGGCTCTCCATTCAGATGCTGGATGGCTGATCGCATGTCTCTCTGAGCCACCCAGCATATCTGCCGCTGGTGCAGGTCAAATTATTCTGAGGTCAGAATGAGGCACCCAGTTTCAAACACATGGCAGGACACCTTATTCTGATCTCAGAAGAAGTGACTGGTGCCAGTGGTGGATGGGCTCAGTGAGAGACATTTCAAACAGCTGCCTGGCATCAGATCAAAGGGCTTTGTATCTTCCAGGAAGATCCAGACAGAGCAACGGATAATATATTTAAATCCATTTTAAGAAGGGTATATACTGGTTCTGGTGCTGAATGGGCCAGCCGTCATCCAGTCTATTTGCACTAGGACCAGGGTTTTATATGTGTGTCATCTGGTCTCCTTGCTGAGAAGACATGGGAAGGATGCTTTATTTGGCCTGTGCAAACTGGACCATTGTCCCAAGATTGGGTATCCTTGATTCAGCCTTCCCTCTATATGCAGCACAAGCAGTCCAAAGAGGTCTGGGACCTAACAAAACGTGGAGAAGCCACATGTGGGTCACAGGCAGCATCTGGCCCACACCTGCCTAGAATATTCCTACACTGGGGATAGGTGAAGTGCAACTGATGACCTCCATGGAGCCCCAAGGGCTATTCTTGTGGCCTCCAAGACGAAATTGGTTTTGTCGCCCAACCCTTTCTAGAGGGCATGGGGGATTTCTGCCATTTTGTGTGTGTGTGTGTGGGGGGGGTCTGAGCCATTTTATGCTCAGGCGAGTCTTTTCTAAAAACAGGAATGAACAGGAATTGACTTCCATTAACGTCCTGTTGTTAAAAAGAAAGTCCTCTCCTGGGCATAAAATTGCCCAGAGGGGTCTAAAACATGGTGAAAATATTTCCTATGCCCCTTAGAATCTGTATGGGTGTACTGGGGGGGGCAGTTTTCTATTTTGAAATGGGGGTGCAGCTCTTCAAGATCTCCTGTAGGGTTGGTGCAGCTTCCTAGCCTCCCACATTTGCCCTACATGTCAGAAAAGTCTCACCGGATGAGGATGATGACGGAGGGCGTCTGAGCCATGGCTCCAATCATGCTGCAGACACACATCACACAGAGGAATGTCAGGAAGGCTTCTTGGCATCCGGGGCTGGGGCATTTCCCGGGGACGACTGTGGCATTCTCAGCAGGGACTGAACTCAGGCATACGCAGCCAGTGAGATTCTGGAAGAGAAGGAGAAAGATAGCGAAGGATCCTCACACTGCAAAATTCAGGAGAATGCGTAATGCTGCAGAATGCATAGAACTTAACACTGTTTTGTAGTCATAATGATGAGCAAGACACTAAGGCAAGTTAGTTGCATCCTTGACCTCTGCAAACTGTAATGTGGGACTTGGGACCAGTTTTGAGGTCCCCCAAGTCCCCTTGAGACACCCCTAAAGCCCCTAGACCAATTTCAAAAACATTTTTCACTCCCATCATGATTTTAAAAAAAAATCCACAAAAATTGAAGTTTTACCCCACTATAAAACTCCAGGAGCTCTCCAGAAGCTGAGAGAAACTCACCAGTCCTTGATCATTCATCAAGTTTCATGGTTCAGAACCTGGATTCCCTAAGTCTCAGTGGAAAACTCTTTTTAACCATGACACCATGCAGTTTTCTACTCCATCTAAAGTCTTGATTTGTCTATAGTCACATTGCCTTCCAAATAATGTTGTTGTTCTTTTAAAAGACACAAGTTTTTCCCTGCATTGTGGACAACATCGAGTAAAATAATGGTGAAGACAAGGCTCTACTGAGTGTCACATGGAAGCTCCCATTTCAGTTCTGCTCCCAGCTGAGAATGGAAGGGCAACTTTTCAGCAGCATTACAAAGACCCCACTATGGAATTACATTCACATCCAGCTCTGCCTCATCTACCGAGATTAGCTGTCTTTCTATCCATATATCAGGATTTGGAGAACAAAGAGAAATTATTCTCTTTGTCAAGTTTTAGAGACTCGCTGAACAGCGTGGATATTGTCATTGTCTCTCTCCAGAGAGACGTGGAGAAAGAAGATGAAAGGGGTATGAAGGTGGAGGAAAAGCGAGGATGAAAGAGATGTAGCTAGGGAACGTGTTATATCTGAGGGAAATTAGCTTGCTGAAGAAGAGCTAAGAAGAGATTGCAAGGACATCTGCTCTCTCTCTACCCCTTTCTCACACCTTGTCCAGTGCTGTTTGCAAAGGAGAGCTTGCTTTTACATTGCGCCAAGCTTAAATTCCCTTTCTACTCCCTGTAGTGTTTGCCACTGTCCATTTCACAAAGAAGAAAACAACACAACAACTAGGGAGTGACCAGAGGTGGAGCATGGAGCTACAGGTCACTGTAATTTTGCAAGAACAAAATGTGTGGGCAATGGGGACACTCAGAGCTTGGAAGGTATGCGGTACAAAGGAACACAGTTAATTGTAACAGGTAACCTTCTTTGATAATCCTGGACTTTCAATTTACAGATTCAATAAGCAACAGCTGAAATCCTGCATTGCCTAGCCTAGCATAAGAATTCCACATGTAGACTTCCACTATGGCTCCCTGATCACCACCACCAATTTTGCTAGCTCTTTGCTTTTGTCTGAGACTATTGGGAAGGGCAAGATTTTGCCCCTGCTTCTCCTCTCACCCCTGTTAACTGAATGCAAACATTCCCAATCCTACAAGATTTTCCAGACAGGTCAGAAAAATATTATCTATCACTACTGCTGGATCATTCAGATTCACAAATAACAGAGATGGTCTTCAGATTCTGTACCTCTGCAATTATTATCTATGGACAAATTTTAGGTGATAAAACCTAAGATTTTTAGACTAGGTTTTTGTAAGATCTTTAGATTATTTTTTTTTTACTGAAGTGATTTTAGTTATTCTCATGTTATTCTCAGGGAATTCTTTGGAAACTTTCTCAGTTATGAATCTGATATATGTATGTGTATATATGTATGTATGTACACACATGTAAGTAAGTATGTATGTATGTATGTTTTATGTGTTTTATCCTTTATGAATTTTAGATGTAACAAACTGTACTTTATATTTTGGTTTATGACCATAAGTAAATGATGATGAATACAAACTACTTTTATACTTTGAACCCAGTTTACACCGTCAGCTGATGACAAAGGAGGAGAGTGGGAGGAGGAGAAAGAAACTGTGTAGTTTTAAAAGGAGCTTAAAAAGTGGGATGATGGAGGATTAATCGGCACCGTCCCTGGAAAATTTGGACAGCTGGAGGGTATAGGACACGAATTACCGTGCTCGTGCATCCAGCAAAGCAGCCCGATAAATATGTGATCCCGTCTGCCCCACAGACTGGAGTGAAGGAATCCGTTTGGCATTTACAGTTGTTATTGCAGGCAGAATATGGGGCCAGGCTGGATGATCTAAAAGAGAGGAAAGAGGAAGAGAATTAGCCCTTAGTAGCAATAGCAATAGCAATAGCATTTACATTTCTATACCGCTTCATAGTGAACTCAGCACTCTCTAAACAATTTATAATCTGTACATCAATTGTCCTCAGCAAGATGGATTTGTGTCCTCTGTGTGTGTGTGTGTCTTTTAAAGTTAGCCAAATATGCTATACCAGATCCCAACTATCTCAGGCCACAGCGTGGGGGTGGGGGGGGGTGGAATCCCAAAAAAAAGTATCAGCATCTTGCAGAAAACCCCACCTGAGCTGGAAGGACCCTTGGTTATACTCACTTGTTTCCATAGGGAACGGTAACTCCAGCCACGGGCCCCGTGTCACAGCCCAAGAAGAGGAAAGAAACGTAGCAAGCTGTGGACACCAGGTTGACCAGCATGGCCATCCGAATGGCTCCCAGAGCAGAGAGGCTCAGCTTCTTCACTAAGAGGCCACCCAAAAAAATGCCCAGACAGGCACAGGGAATAGCTGTCATGCCTACAAGAAAAGGGGGAAAACAGAATAGAACATTACAAGCAGGAACATCCATGTTCAGATCTCTACTTGGCATCGATGCAGTTGTATTAAGGATTCTCTTTTAGGCTATATAGCACTTTGTCCTCTGAAGTTGCCCATCCCAATTTAGGTGCTTAGATGGCAAGCTAGACGCTATTGACTCCAATTTTGGTGACTCTGCCCTTCATCCCACCAGTCCCAGCGGGCATCTGTTGTTATCTCTAGTAACACACAAGTACCCCATCTACATAGGAACTATTTGGATGGGTGCTCAGTTCAAGTTACTTACCCAACAACTGGTTGGCTGACGATGTTGTGAGATTGAACTGTTGTTCCAGGTATTTCCCGAGGAAGGCTGCAAAGCCGGCAACCACAGCTATCTCCATGCAAGCGGCAAGTACAATGCAGGTGAACACCGGGTTGGAGAGCAAGTGCTTGGTGACTTTAGGGATCACTGGAGGGTGGAAATGAGAAGAAAAGGGAAATTCACCAAAGTCTCCATGGCAGGCTCCCAGGAGACACTCTCCAACTAGGGGAGTCTGCTATCTGTAGGGAATTAATTTAACAACTTGACTGTGTGCTGATTCTGTTAGCCACCATAAGGTAGATTCTGGAAAAGTAACTGTTGGGACAGTTGTTGTTGTTGTTGTATGCCTTCAAGTCCTTTCCAACTTATGGTAACCCTAAGGTGAACCTATTATGGGGTTTTCTTGGTAAGATTTGTTCAGAGGAGATTTACCATTGCTGTCCCCTGAGAAAAGTGGGACCAGGGTTCGATTCCCAGCTCAGCCATGAAACCCAAGGTCACCCAGTGGGTTTCATGGCCAAGCTGGGAATCAAACCCTGGTCTCCAGAGTCACAGTCCAATATTCAAACCACTAGACCACACTGGCTCTCACTCCTCAAATACACCAGAAGGCAGGAGGTTCTCTCAGCTGTAGTCAAAAAAGTAACTTTTCCAAGCTTTGCTTTGAGCATGCTGAATGGATAGAAAATATATAAATGTAATAAATATATATATTGCCTTTAGGAAAAGAAAATTACAGAACCTCACTTGCCCAACCTTCATGGTTATAAGGTACATAGGACCATCTGGTGGATATAAGAAAACATTACAAGTCCACTTTCAATTAGTAGTAATCGGTGAAAAGCACAAAATGCACTGGTGCTTTTCACAGATTTTCAACTCTTTGATTATGTTCTTAATGTTGTACAGGACAGCACTTGACTTCCTTTTAAAAAAGCAGCTGCCCATGGCTCACCAAAGGTGAATGAGCATCTCTTCAGTGCATGACTTGACTATTACTTCCAAAATCTTCCAACAAGCGTGCCCACTACTCAATCATGCTGGTGGATTCTAGGAGTTGTCCTCCACAAAAGCAACTTTTCCAAGCTCTGCTCTGGCCTATAACTGCAGAGAATTTTGGCCAAACATTTTGGCAAAGAGCTTTGGGCAAGGTGGACACTTTTAATGTTGATGCTCCACTTCTCTAGACTAATGAAACGTCCTTCCAAGCCAGAAAACTGTTGGTAACTTATGTCTCTATAATTACTCCAAATATTCCATTGTAAGTACTTTGAGGAGGTATTGTACAAGGAGGCATCCAGTAACTCACTTTGAGGATTTGTAGTTTGGTGAGGCATCACAGCTCTCTGCCAAGGCGAGGATGAATGCCTCACCAAATTGCAAATCCCTGGATTCTGTAGGATAGAGTCATGGCAGTTAAAGTAGTATCAAGCTGCCTTTATTCTGCAATGTGGCTACACCCCAAGGGTCCATACAATCAGGGAGAAAAACTGAGAAATTGCCTTACAGAGTGACTCTTAAGGTAATGAATCAGGGAGAGCTGGTTTTTCCACTTCAGTAAGCATTTTAATTATTCCAGAGATGACACAGCTTGAGTGGAATGGGATGCTAATGCATGCAAACTTCACCTTGCCTTAATACCTGGTGACTAACTCCTCTGCGAATTAAATGTGAAAATCACAGCATTTGAAAATTATCTCTCTGAAATGCTGCTAAAGCCACTGCGGCTCTGTCTCATTTTGCAGATGCCATCCCTCCTCCCTTCCCTGGCTGATTTGCAATTTCTAGGGCCTGAATATCAGCCATTTCTCTCTGTGACAGACAGACAATCCTTTCCTTTGGATGCTCATAAGTTTGAACTCACTGGCTGCCCCAGGTGCATGTGGGAAGGCAAAAGCCAAGCAGAGAAACAGGCTCCCTTGTACCAAGGATTTCAACTTTACTTTTCCTCTGACATAATAGTCCAAAATGTATATGGCAGTGGTGATGAACCTTTTAGAGATCGAGCCCCCAAACTGCAACCCAAAACCCACTTATTTATTACAAAATACTGCATCCTCTGGCTTTCTAGTAACAAACTCTGGTGAACTCTGTGCTGGGGCAATGGCGAATGTGCCCACAAAAAGGGCTTTGAGTGCCACCTCTGGCACGCGTGCCATAGGTTTGCTGCCACTGGTATATGGAATCCTCCAAGCTAAATATCCCCAGATCTTTAAGCTATTCTGGAAAGACTTTCGTGGAAGTTACATGTGGGCTATGAGGGAAGTGTGTCACCTCTCAGCTGCTGGAGGCAGGAGGAACTCTCTCCTCCTTCCACGGCGTGTCGCGGGAGGACCCCGTTGCTGGGCTTGGGTAGCCTCTCGTAATCCCGGTTGGGCAGCATGGCTTGCTCAGACTCTGCCATCTGCTCCGGCCGGCGGGTCAGGGACTGTGGGAATCCAAACATCGGGAGAGACGAAAAGAAAAGTAAGGCACCACAGAGCAAGAAGCCTGCCCACCATGCGCCAATCCACCTTGGGTCATCAGGGGTGATGTCCAGCTTACCTGCAAAGGGACACAAGACAGGTTGCGTAGTGACAATCTGGAGAGAACAAGCAAGTACTAGTGACTGATCAGAAAATCTCATGGACTGCAGCTCAAGAATCAGTCTGTGTTTTCCCATTGTTTGCAGGGAAGAAGTTAGATTTTAGGTTTATACTGTACATCTGAGAGTTACAAGGACTTTGATATAATTGTAGCTGCATCTGCCAATGCTACCCTTCCTCCCCCCAAAAAAACCCCTACTTCTTAATTATTTTCTATACAAAATTACAAAAACATAGTTGATTTTATTAATTTATTCTATTTACTTTATTTATCGGTTGCCTTTCTCCCAAAATGGAACCCAAAGCAGCTTCCAAAAATAGTAAATTAAAAATGTTTACAACAAAATAAAATAAAATAAAAAATTAAAATTATTTATTTTATGTATTATTTGTTTCTTTTATTTATATGCCCACATTAAGCAGTATAAAAATCCCCTCATTACTGGCCATATCAACTGACTTCCTTCCTGCTCCCTGGAACTGGCACCTTCTTGTGCTTTGCACCCATCAGCACCAGATCTAGTTACTCCCCAAAAGGCTGCTTAGGATGGGCATGAAGGTTAGATCGTACTTGGACCTGGGGTATTCATTCTAATTTTTTAACCAAATCTGACACCTTACTGCTACGTCTGCAGCCTGGTATCTGGCATCGAATCACATCTGCAGTGAAGGCAGACACCATCAGAAGCTTCTTGGTCCTCTGTCTCAGTTTCTGATCACTGGGCAATCCCTTAATAACGTCTTTAGCCCATAGAAGAGATGCCCTAGTCATTATTGATGGAAGCATCCATTCTCAGTACCAAGGAGGAAGTGTCATGGGCTTTTTAAAGGGTCCCCCCCCCCCACTTTTCTATTTTTTGTGACTCTAAAAGAGCATTCACCATCCTTGGCATAAACGGAGGATGAAACCGGTGCAGATGCAGGAACGTCAACCAAGGAAGGGTGCCTGTAATTTGGACAGCAGCACATTGCTTGGCAAGCTGCAAAATTTCTTGACACATCTTGGATTTGGCCAATTGGTGGCAGGCATGTTCCATTCCTCTCTCGCTGCAGACATAAAATCTGTATGGAAAGGGATGTCTAAAGAGGAAGCGTTGCTTTGGGCTGGGTGCTGGTGGTGTGCCTGAGCAGCAGCATGGGAGTATTTTCCCTCAATGGCTGGCTCCAGGGGCTCTCCCTGGTCTGATCCCACCTCCATTTAGACTTTCAAAATCCACTGGTTTCCCTCCTACACAGTGGCAGTGAATATCAAGCTAAGATACATCACTTCTTACTCAACTACAGGAAGGGAGGGAAAATGTGTCCTTACTTGTGTCGATGAAGACAGCATCCACATAGATTTTGGTACAGAAAGAGCCCAAGATAAACCCACAGGCTGGTCCGAATACCAGCATTGTAAACAAGATCCCTGTATGGAAAAAAAACCAAGACAGCAGCGGTAAGTGAGAGGCAGATCCTGAGACTGGGAAGGCAGCACATGTCCAAACTGTGCCACTTTGCTTTGGGGAGGAGGGTTGGAAAAATTGGGTCTCACATGGAGAAATGCTTCTCCAGACACAGATCTAGCACATCAGAGAGAAGGGTGTGAGAGATCTGCCTTATTCCACCACTTTTCCCACCAGATGTGAGGTTCTGCCTAAATCTCTGCTGCTACCATATGTGAAGACCTCCACAAATCCCACTGATACCATTAAGATGAGGGTTTTCTCTTATCCCCACCACTGCCATCAATGTAAGGACCTACTCCTGTTGCACTATTGCAGCCACCAACTATGGGGAATCATCTAGATCATCTAGATCAGTGATTCCCAAACATTGGCTTTCAATTTCAATTCCCAGAATTCCTCACAATTGGCCAAACTGGTTGGGGTTCCTGGGAGCTGAAGTCCAAAACACCTGGCGGACCAAAGTTTGGGAACTACTGACCCTAGACAGCTTCAAGATTCTTGTGTGAGATACTGAGAAACTTCTAACCCAATGGACATCACCCCTCTTTTATTCTTTGCTGCCACCATATACACTAATTTTTATCTATATAGATTCCCTGGAGGCCAAAAACGGATTGTACATAGATGAAACAAATTAATAATTTAATACATTTAAAGCAAATATTTCATTCTCACATTCTTCTCTTAACTAACTCAGGCTGCTGCCACAGTAAAGAACTAATGCAGTCTGACACCACTTTAGTGTCCATGGCTCCATCCTATGAAATCCTGGGATTTGTTTGTTGTGGCACCAGAGCTCTCTGACAGAGAAGTCTAAATATCTCACAAAACTACACATCCCAAAATTCCAAAGCATGGGACCATGGCAGTTAAAGTGGTGTCAAACTTCATTTATTCTGCAGTCTGAGGCAGCCTCAGACTCTCAAATCCCATTCATCACTTTCTAGACCTGATTGACTGACTCCCTTATCCATAATCCACATATCACACCAATTTCCCCAACCATATTTTGGAATATGCAAATATTCCAACATCCAGGGGGGAAAGGTTCACAATCCAAAACACTTCTGGGTAAGGGATACTGAATCTATAGTATAATCATATTTTAACTTTTGCATGGAAGAGGAAAAAAGAAGTAGCAGCAGCTAAACGTTGTGAAAAAGTGGCTCTCATTTTGAATTGATAACTTGAGCAGATTTTTCTGGTCTGAGATTTTACCACTAGATGAGGCTATAAACCGTAGTTTCAAGCTAAAGAACTGAGTAAAAGGGAAACATATCTAGTTTCTTAATATTTTCACATTCTGTAAAACAAGATCAGCAACAAAACAGTGTTTCATACATTCTGCAAAGGAGCGGTGATTCTTCTTTTATCTTTAATAACACCATTGTTGTTATTGTTGTTGTGTGTCTTCAAGTTGTTTCCAATTTATGGCAACCCTATCATGGTGTTTTCTTGGCAAGATTTGTTCAGAGGAGGTTTGCCATTGCCTTCCCCTGAGGCTGAGAGAGCGTGACTTGCCCAATGTCACCCTATGGGTTTCATGGCTGAGT